GGAAGGGGCAGCCAGGTGGAGGAGGGGTGGAGACCTGGAGGGAGGAGCTGGACCCCGCGCCCCCCCCCCCGCTTCCCCCCCCCCCCCCCCCCCCCCCGCCGTGTGTAATCCTGGCACCCGGGACAGGCAGTAGCCTGGAGCAAGCGGAGAGGGGCATCCGGAGCCGGTGGGGAACCCTCGGGCAGGGGGTCCGTCTGGGGTGGGGTCCCGGGGCCGGGGGCCCTGCTCTGATGACCTAGTTATTTTGGTGATCTCCTTTGGAAGCTTGAGCATGTTAAGAGAGGCATTCATTCATGCCTCACAGGTCCCTCTGTCTGGCCCTTCTTTCCATCCCCTGTGGCCCAATTAGGAGCCCCTCCTCCTGTCCTGGGGGCCCAGAAGGTGCCCCCTCACCTCCCAAGTCTGTCTTCTGCCTGTACCGTGGGAGCTGCCTGCCCCCCCCCCCCCCACTCCACTGGGCCCGGGTGGGAACTGTCAGGGGGCCCGGGAACAGGCTGAACGGACCCAGAGCTGCCCCCGACCGCCTCCCACCCCCGGAGCACCGAGGTCCCCTCCTCCACGCCGCCTGCCATCAGCGCTGTCCGGCTGCCCAGAGGTAGCCCTAGTAACAGGTGCAGCCACAGCCGTGTTTTAACTTGTCTTTCTCAGGTTTGGGGATTCCCTCCCTGGGATTTTCCCCTTCCTGAACCCCCTCTCCTCTCCCATCTCTACCTTTGGAGGAATCTCATATTTTCTACCCATGAACCCACTGTTGGTGCGAGATACTGCGAGTGCCTTCCCGCCGTGAGCGTTCTGCCTGTGGTGCCCTTCCCAACAGAAATCGGCGTCAGAATCGACCGTGCGGAACCTGCTGCCTCACACCTGTGTTTCTGGTGTTTTAAGAATCCCTCCCTGCTGCCAAGTCACAGCCATAACCACCCCTGTGTCTGTTAAGACACAGTTTTGCCACCAGGGTCGCACGCTTGAGTGGGACCCGGCTAGGGAACCAGCTTTATTTTTCTCCTTAGAATAAGCCTGATTTCTGACGTCTTCCTCCGAACCACCAGCTTCATGGCGCTGTCGCCACTGTTCATCAAATGCCCAGGGTGCCCGGGGCTCTCTCAGGGCCCTTGTCCCTCTGCTCGCTTTCCCTGTTCCTGCCGGCACCACGCGTCCTCACGCTGTGGCTCTGTGGGACGTCTTGCTACCCGAGGGCGACTCCCCCCTCCACCCTCCTGCCAAGAGGCCTGTTAGTTCTTTGCGGATCTGATGCTGCAGAGAAATGGCAGGGTGGCTTTACCAGGTAACAACAGCAACAATAAAACCCGGGAAGTTTGGAAATGAACGCCAGCTTTATACTGTCAAGCCGCCCATTCAGGACCGTGAGCTTCTCTGCAAATACCTCACAGCATCCATCGTAAAACTCGATACTGGACTTTTAAAGTGGTCCCCACACAGGTCTTGTATAGTATCGGTCCATTCACAGACCTTTATAGTTTGCTTTCCGTTACGAACGGTTCTCTATTTTTAAAAACTGTGCGTTCCACTTGCTTATCTTTATAAACACCGATAGTTGTTCCTCTTTCTTTCCAGTCCTGACTCCTTTTCCTTCTTTTTCTTTCCAAATAGCATCGTCCAGGACCTCTCCCCCTATGCTATGCACGAGTGACAAAAGTGGGCCTCTGTGCCTGGTTCCAATGGGAGAGAGAAGGCATTGTCTCATTTCTCATTGAGTGAATGTTTGCTGCAGGGCTTTGGTACGTGAACTTTATTAAATTGTGGAGATTCTATTGCTCACTTGCTAGCAGCGTTTTAAAAAAATCATACATACATTTGTGGAGTTCTCTGTTGTTTTTTAATTGAGATACGGTTGTCCCCTGCCTGCTTTTAGCCTGTTAATGAGGTTTTCTGAGGTTGAACTGTCGTTGCAAGACTGATGGCCCCCTGGGACCTGTAGTTGCAGGTCAAACCTGCCACTTCTTCCTAACACCTGGCTTCCCTCCGTCAGAATGTTTGGATTTTGTTGGCACAAGACTCCTCACTGCCACCTGCTGGGACATCACGGTACATACGTCTGGGAAGTCGGGACGGGAGCCGTCCTGGGACAGGAACCCCATGATGACCGTGTTTTGTTTTGTTTTTTAAGCTTCTTAAAAGTTTATTCTCTCTTATTATGAGAGAGAGAGAGGGAGAGAGAGAGAATCCTAAGCAGGCTCTGCACTGTGCGGAGCCCGACATGGGGCTCAAACCCACAAACTGCGAGATCATGACCTGAGCTGAAATCAAGAGTCGGACGCTTAGCCGACTGCGCCACCCAGGCGCCCCACCATGTACTTTTAAAATACACTATTGGGGGGCGCCTGGGTGGCACAGTCGGTTAAGCGTCCGACTTCAGCCAGGTCACGATCTCGCGGTCCGTGAGTTCGAGCCCCGCGTCGGGCTCTGGGCTGATGGCTCGGAGCCTGGAGCCTGTTTCCGATTCTGTGTCTCCCTCTCTCTCTGCCCCTCCCCCGTTCATGCTCTGTCTCTCTCTGTCCCACAAATAAATAAACGTTGGAAAAAAAAATTTTTTTTTAAATACACTATTGGAACTAGTCAGCTGATATTTTATATGGGATTTTTTTTTTTGTATCTATAAGTAAAACAAAACTACAATTTTTCTTGTATTGTCCTCCATTCGGTTTGGGAATCAAGATTACACGGGCCTCATGAAATGGCCTGGGCAATTTTCACTCCTTTTTCCATTTCCCAGAATGACTTCTAAGAAGGAGTCAGTTAGTTGTTCCTTGAGAGGTTAGTATCCTTCACCTGTAAAAAACTTGTACTGGAACATGAGGTCCTTGACTAACATTTCAATTTCTTTAATGCTTGCTGGTCTATTCGGATTCTCTACTGCTTCTTGTGCCCATTTTGACACTTTGAATTTTTCTAGAAATTGTTATACTTCATCCAGGTTTTCACGTCTGGAAGTCCTTTTTATTTCGTAAGCTTTTCGGCGTCTGTGTCCACCCTCGTAAGCCCTTCAGTGTGTGGCCACTGCCCTCTTTCCTCCCGATTTCTTCCAAGCGTTTTCAGAGAAGGCCTCTGTGCGGCCATCATTCCGAAGTCTTTCCATTATGCTCCTGCATTTGAATGGAACTTTGGCTGGATATAAAATTCTAGAAGGGAAGTTCTTTTCCTTTCGTACATAAAATATTATATTCTTTCTGCATCCGTTGTTGTTGCTGAGAAACCGGACTTCTGAGCCCCCGGGGCGATCTGCTCTTTCTGAAGCTTTTAGAATGTTCTCTGTGCCATTGACTTGTCTGGGTGTGATTTTCCTTGTTTCCCATTCCGCGCTCCAGGAGACCTTTCCATCTGAGGGGTCCCGGCTTTCTTCAGATCTGCAAAAGTCATGCTCCTTGTCTCTTCAAACATGTCCCCTTCGCCCCCACCCTTTATATATGCATTTCTGCACTTGGATGTCAATTCTCTCTCCTCTCCTGGTGGCTCTGCACTTCCCTGCTCCACCCTGCAGGGTCCCTCAGCAGAAACACCCGTCACTGTGCCTTCTCCAGCTGGACCGGTCCGCATGTTTATCTCACCTATCGTGCTCTTCCTTTCGATGATTACATGTTTCATGATTTATTTATATCTTCTCTTTTGGTTCTTTTTATTATTATTCAACTTTTAATTCCAGTGTGGTTAACATGCAGTGTTATATTAGTTTCCTGGGTACAATATAGTGTTGAATTCAACCCCCTTTGGTTCTTTTCTTAAAGATTTTTTAAAATGTTAATTTATTTAAAAAAATTTTTTAATGTTTATTTATTTTTTTGAGAGAGGGGGAGAGAGACAGAGAGCAAGCAGGGGAGGGGCAGAGACAGAGGGAGACACAGAATCCAAAGGAGGTTCCAGGCTCTGAGCTGTCAGCACAGAGCCAGACATGGGGCTTGAACCCACAAACTGTGAGATTGTGACCTGAGCTGAAGTCTGGGGCTCAACCGAATGAGCCACCCAGGTGCTCCAAAATGTTGATTTATTTTAGGGACAGAGAGTGCAAGCTGGGGAAGGGCAGAGAGAAAGAGAGACAGAGGACTTGAAGCCGGCATCTGAAGCTGGCTCTGTGGTGAGCCCTACTTAGGGCTTGAACACACAAACTGTGATACCATGACCTGAGCCAAAGCTGTGGCCTCAGTGGAGCCACCCAGGCACCCCTGGTTCTTTTAAAAGACTTCAAGTTCTCCACCTCCCCCATTCCTGAGGCATGTCTGTCCCCACGGCTCACTGCCGCACCTGTGGGTGGGGCTGCCTCAGCTGTGGGGACAGTTGGCCCGTGACCTCACATCCCCCCAGGGGTCGGCCTCTTGGTCAGGGCCGGCGCTCAGGTAGGGGACAAGCAAGCTAGGGCTCGAGGCCCGGCCCTGAGTGGGCTGCCCACGGCGACAGGGAACCACACACGATTCCTGCTCCGCGCAGCTCTCCCGGCCCAGCGCCCCCCTCCAACCCCAACCCCAACCCCAACCCGGAAGGTCAGGAGGAGGAGGCCTGGGGTCCTGGGGCTTGGGGGCGGTGGGGAGGGAGAGGGCGGCAGCGACTCCGTCACCTGGCCTTCCCACTGCCTTAGATCCTCTGAGCTGTGACCGGACTTCTGTGGCGAACGGGCTGCACGGGCTGCCGTGGTGGAGCCCAGGCCCGCAAGGGAGACAGAGGCCGCGCTGAGGCCCCGGCACCCCCAAGTGCAGCCCCCTCCCCTCCCTCCCAGTTCCGGCTGCCTTCACATTCCCTCGCGGCTTGGGTTCCTGGCTGGAGCAGCTCCCCCCACCCCGCCCCGCGGTGGGGGGATGTGAGAGGCCGTGGCCCGAGTGTCACCCTGCCCCAAACTCTCCACGCGCCCAGGTCTCAGGCGGGGTCTTGCTCCTCGGTCTGCAGTCCCGCTCCCTGGGACTTATTTGAACCTCGGCAGTTACGGGCCGCCCCAGCCCCTGACCTCACCCGCCCGCTCCGCGGTCTGCACTCCCTCCCCCGGGGTCGCGGAGGGGGGACGGGTCCCGGTGGGGCCAGCCGGCTTCGGCGCGGCGGACGCTGGCAGGGACCCGGACTGCGGCGCAGGTGAGGGGCCGGGGCGGGGCGGGGCGGGGCGGGGCGGGGCGGGGCCGACGTCTGCCGGGGGCGGGGGCGCCCTCGCGCGTAGCTCAGGGACGCGCGCCCACCCAGCCGCCCCCGCGCTCTTCCTCGACCCCGACCGCTTCTCGTGGCACGACCCGCGCCTGTGGCGCTCCGGGGGCGCGGCGCGCGGCCTCTTCTCCGTGGACGCCGAGCGCGTGCCCTGCCGCCACGACGACGTCGTCTTCCCGCCCGACGCCTCCTTCCGGGTGGGCCTCGGCCCCGGCGTCGGGCCCGTGCGCGTCCGCAGCGTCTGGGCTCTGGGCCAGGTGAGCCGCGCGCGCGCGCGGGGCCGGCCCGCGTCTCCCCTGCGCGCCTCGGCCCCTCCCGGGCCCCACGCGAGAGTTCCGGGCACTCAGTCGCTGTCCCCTCCTCGGGCTGGCGCCGCCCGCGACCCGGCCACCCGCAGACGTTCACGCGCGACGAGGACCTGGCTGCGTTCCTGGCGTCCCCCGCCGGCCGCCTGCGCTTCCACGGGCCGGGCGCTCTGAGCGTGGGTGCCGAGGCCTGCGCCGACCCGTCGGGCTGCGTCTGTGGCAACGCCGAGGTGAGCGCGGAGGGCACCGGGGTGGCCCGGGTCCGCCGGGGGTGAGGGTGGGGGAGGGGCGGGGCCGGCGCCTGGCCCTCCCTCGACGCGGTCTGCCCCTCCCCCTCTCCGTGCCGACGGCCGCTGGCCCGCCTCCAGGTACAGCCGTGGATCTGCGCCGCCCTGCTCCGGCCCCTGGGCGGTCGCTGTCCCCCGGCCGCCTGCCGTGACGCCCTCCGGCCCGAGGGGCAGTGCTGCGACCTCTGCGGTGAGCACCCCCTCGTGTTTGCGGGGACGGCCTAGCTACCCTGGTTCGCCCCCCGGGCCTCACTTTCTCTGCTGGCCCTGGGCCCTCCTGTCGCAGGAGCCATCGTGTCGCTGACCCACGGCCCCACCTTTGACATTGAGCGGTACCGGACGCGGCTGCTGCGAGGCTTCCTGGTAATGGGGCCGCGCTCCCCGCCCCCCCCCCCCCAGCCCCTACCGCAAGACCCGCCCGGGGCCACACTTTGCCTCATTGACGCGGTTACTCTCCGCGCACCTGCCCACCCCGTGTCCCTGCTGCCGACGCCCCCGCGGGTCCGAGGGCGAAGTCCCTGGGATAACCCTGTCTCCACCCCCTCCCCCCAGCCCCAGTACCAGGGGCTGCAAATGGCCGTGTCCAAGGTGCCGCGCCAGAACGCAGGCGCCGAGGCAGACACGGAGATTCAGGTGGTGCTGGCAGAGACCGGGCCCGACGGGACGGGCGGCGCGGGGCGGCTGGCACGTGCCCTCCTGGCGGACGTCGCCGAGCACGGTAACCGCGGGTGCCCTTTTCCCGGCCCCTGCCCCGCCCCGCCTGGCGGAGACTGAGCCGACGCCCTCCGTCGTAGGCGAAGGCCTGGGGGTCCTGTCCGCAGCAGTCCGGGAGTCGGGCGCGCCGGTCGGGGACGGCTCCGCAGCGGGACTGGAAGGTTCGGGAATGCGCGCGGGGCTGGCAGGCGGCGTGGCGGCGGGGCTGCTCCTGCTGCTGCTGGCGCTGCTGGCGGGGGCGCTGTTGCTGCGTGGCGCTCGGAGCTTCAGGTACGCGGGGGTGCCGCGGGGGACGGAGGCTCACGTCGCGGAGGAGGACCGCGGGGTTCATGTACGTCCTTGTTCCCCAGGTGGAGTAGGCGCGACGAAGCGGCCCCAGCGCCCTTCGTGGCGCCCTTGGGCTTCTCCAACCCGGTGTTCGACGTGGCGGGCTCAGTGGAGCCGGTGAGGGGACGGGTGTGGGTAGCGGTCTTCCCCGGGGCTGTGCTGGGTGCAGACGCACCTTGACCCTGCGCACCCTGCAGCCTTCCGCCCCACAGGTGGAAAGCAGCAGCGTCAGCCGCAGCTACTTCGTTAACCCTCTTTTTGCCGAGGCGGAGGCCTGAGCCCCCGTGTGACTGGCCAGCCCCCCTTCTGCCCTCCGCCGCCCCATTTCGAGAAATGTACGGGTCCATGACATTAAAAGATCTCCGTTCCCTTTTCCACACTCCTTGTCCCCAGCCCCTGCAGACCAAGGACAGGGTGGCTTTGCCTAATAAAGGGGTTTCTTGCACCTGCTATCAGTTGCCTCCTGTGTCCCCACCCCTTTGCCTTTGCTTGAATGTGGAGAGCCGGCCAGTGCCCTCGTCACTCCATTGGTGAGGGGTGAGCCTCAGAGTCCTCCCTTCTGGTCACCTGCAAAGGGCAGTTCTGGGCACTACCTGTAGAATGGGTCCCCGAGAAGATTGCAGTCTGCAGAGTTGCCCCTAGAACAAGGAGGGGGCTGGAACTCGGGAGATGGGGTGGTTAGAAGCCAGCAGGAGTGAGGCACCTGGTGAGGCTGGCTGTCCAGTAGTCCCCCAACATCATGCCAAATGGCTGTTGACCTTGCAAATACAACAGCCGGCCATTTTACCAGAAAAAACGGGTTTGTTCTGGAATGGCAGAGGAGTTGCACTTCGGGGGTATGCAGGCTGTGGCGAAACCGCGGGCAGGCGAGTCCGGAGACCAAAGGAGAGGAACACGGTAGAGAAAAGGCAGGGGGTTGGGTGGGGCTGGTCTGAGTGGCGGTCCACCGGGGGCAGCGGGCATTGGGGCTGGTGGCGCTTTCTCACTGGCTGGCTGGTACCAGGCCGGAAGGGCTTCCTCCTCCTGCCGGTCCGGTGGGGGGACGGAGGGCAGGTGGGTGCGGTGCCCACCGGCTGGAGGCTCCGTGTGGATGAAGTAGCCTTCACTCAGGCTCCCATCTTCCTCTTCTGATGAAGATTTTTCCTTAAAAGCATCACTGGTCAAGAGTTACTAGTGTGTCATTTGTGTCCCTCAGTGCCAGGAAAGACCTTTCCCACGTGGTGGGTCCCACATCGGAGGGAAAGCGCATAGCGGTGAGAAACATTTAAGGCCGCATTTGAATAGTGAGGAAGGTTCGGAGGAAGGACTCAGGGGTTTCCCATCCGAGGTCCGCTTCCTGCTGAGGTGAGCTGGCGTCACCTAAATGGTTTCTACAAAGGTTTGACAAGCACCGGGAAGAAACAATGATTACGCAGGGCTGGTGAGCAGCACCTGGCAGGGGCCCTCCAACGAGGTTGAAGAGACCTTCTGGAGTGTCCTTTGCAGTCGACGGAACGTCTGGTTGCAGGTGGTGACCTTCGCTCTCTGCATCTCATGGGCGCGTGCCGTGGAAAGATGGTTCTGCTCACGAGCACGGGTTCTCAGTAGACAGGGTTCGGCCTTTGCGGTACTGGGGTACCTGCTCTTACCAGCTGTGGATCGGAGCGGGCAGGAGCCAGGTGCACCCTTGCCCTGTAAACTACCCCAGAGGGGGTGGAGCTGAGATTTAGAAGGGCCGATAGCAGTGCTTTTGGCTGGGGTACTGGAAGCATCTTCGCCAATTTTGTTTGCCAGTTGGGTTTTTTTTTTTTTAACTTTTTAAATGTTTATTTTTCAGAGTGAGCGAGTGAGCGTGAGTGGGGGAGGGGCAGAGAGAGGGAGACAGAGGATCTGAAGTTGGCTCCACGCTGACAGCCCGATGCGGGGCTCAAACTCACGAACCTCGAGGTCATGCCATGAGCGGACGTCAGATGCTTCCCGGACTGAGCCACCCGGGTGCCCCTGCCAGTTGAGTCTAAATAATGCCGTGTGTTTTCCTAGCCCTGAAGGCTGGGGGTGGGAAGCACAGTGCTTTAGAACCGGCTCAACAGCACAGACCTGTTGAGTCACCTGAACTGTGACACGGGTTTTCCAGTGACTGGGGTTCAAGGAGGTTTCCCCAGGTAGGGATGGAATTTTCTATTAGGACTTTTGCTGTTACCCGTCTACAAGGGAAAGCCTCAGTCCAGGAGGAAACCTACAACCCACGACTAAACCCTATTTCTATCAGCTCCACGGGGGGAGCCGATTAAAACCCACTTGCCAGACCCCAAATGGTCCATTGAGCAATTAAAACACCTGAGGGCGCTGAGGGCAGGTTTCCCAGGACTATTTGGGGCAGGTGGGACGAGCAAGGCGGCAGCATTCTGTGGCCTTGCCGATGTTCTCCTGTCGGCGTTAGTGTATAAAGTCTGTCATTTAACCAGCAGACCAGTGACTGCACGCACGGTGGTCGGGGATGGGAGTTTTAGAGTCTCTGGCGGGACTGGATGGGTCTTCGGTCCCAGCTAGAGTTCTCTCATATTGGACCAACACACTTCCAATATTGTTTGGCTCTCTTTGGGGCCGACTGGTGGGCGTTTGTTGATTTTTCTAGGTGGTCATTTGGGGGACCACAACGGAGGTCTGGTTGTTGGTTTCTTTGAGAGCAGCGTCGTCGGTGGCACTGTCAGTGAGGTGGTTCCCTTCGCCGCCAGAGTCAAGTCTGAAGTGCCCAGAGACCTTAATGACAGAGCCGCTGGCGAAAGTGAGGCATCTGATACAGTTAGGGCCATTTTCAATTTTATTCCCACTAGAGGTGAGGAAACCTCCCCAAACATCCCAAAGTCCTGGGCTCCCTGTACCGGCAGCAGGTACAGATGTTTGTGGTTTGGCCCTCAGCTAAGGTGCAAGCCTGAGAGCATCTACCTCAGGCGGAGTTGGGCTGAAGTAATCCGTGAAGTGGTGACTACGGGAAGTGTGGTTACCGCCTGTCACCGTCCAGAGTTGTTCCGGTGCCGGTGACTCTCTTCCTTATGCGGCTCTCACGAGCCCCGCCTTGATGCCTGGAAGGCGGTGCATCCTAATCCCCTTCACCTGGTCCATCCGTCCCCGCCCCCTCCCTCTGGCAGCCACGGCTGGTACGTTAGTGCTGTCACAAACACAGGGGAGCAAACGTCCTTTCAAATGACTGTTTCCATCTTCTTCGCATAAATACCTCGGAGTGGAACCGCGGGATCATACTGTAGTCCTGTTTTTATCGGAGGAACCTCCATACGGTTTTCCAGGGTGGCCGCACCGGTTTGCATTCCCACCAGCGGGGCAAGAGGGTCTCCTTTCTCCGCATCCTGGCCAACACCTGTTGTTTCCTACGACGTTGACTTTAAAGGCCGTTCTGACTGGTTTGGGTCGGCATCTCCCCGACGGTCAGCGCCGGTGAGCTGCTTCTCGTGTGTCTGTTGGCCATCCGTAGGTCTTCTTGGAAAACCGTCTATTCAGGTTTTCTGCCCACTTAAAAAAATGGGATTGGTTTTTTTGATACTGAGTTTTAAGAATTAAAAAAAATTTTTTTAATGTTTATTTTTGAAAGAGAGAGCATGAGCAGGAGGTGGGGGACAGAGAGAGAGGGAGACACAGAATCCAAAGCAGGCTCCAGGCTCCGAGCTGTCAGCACGGAGCCCAACGTGGGGCTCGAACCCATGAACCGGGAGATCGTGTCCTGAGCCGAAGTTGGACGTTTAACCAACTGAGCCACCCAGGTGCCCCCATGAATTCTTTGTATATTTTTAATGTTAACCCCTTATCAGATATAGTATTTACAAATAGCTTCTCTCACTCAGTATGTCACTTTTTTGTTTTGTCGATGGTTTACTTTGCTGTGCAAAAGCTTTTTAGTTTGATGTAGTTTCATTTATTTTTGCTTTTGTTGTCCTTGCCTGAGGAGACAGATCCAAAAAAACTATTGCTCAGACTAATATCAAAGAGCTTGCTGCCTTTTTTCTTCTAGGATTTTTATGGTTTCAGGTGTCCTGTTTAGGTCTTTAATCCATTTAAAGTTTGTTTTTGTGCGTGGTGTAAGAACGTGGTCCAGTTTCACTCTTTTGCATGCAGCTGTCCAGTTCTCCCAGCACCATTTCTTGAAGAGACTGTCTTTTCTTCACTGGATATTCCTGCCTCCTTGGTCATAGATTAGTTGACCATGTAAGTGTGGGTTTATTTCTGAGCTCAGTGTTTTGTCCCATTGGTCTATGTGTGTTTTTGTGCCAGTGCCATACCGTATTGATTACCACAGCTTTGTAGTATACTTTGAAATCAGGGAGCAAGATTCTAGTTTTGTTCTTTTTCAAGATTTCTTTGGCTATGCATGATCTTTTGTGGTTCCGTATAAATATAGGATTATTTGTTCTAATTCCGTGATAAATGCCATTGGTATCTTGACACAGATTCCATTGAATCTGTAGGTTGCTTTGGCTGGTATGGACATTTTAACATCAGCTTTTCCAATTTACAAGCATAGTTTATTTTTCCATCTTCTGTGTCCTCTTTAATTTATTTCATTAATGTCTTATAGTTTTCAGAGTACAGTTCTTTCACCTCCTTGGCTAAATTTATTTTTAGGTGCTATTTTATTCTTTTTGATGAAGTTGTGAGATTTTTTTTTCTAAATTTTTAATATATTTTTTATAAGTTTTTTTTTTAATGTTTATTTTTGAGAGAGACAGAATATGGTGGGGGAGGGGCAGAGAGAAGGAGACACGGAATCTGAAGCAGGCTCTAGGCTCTGAGCTATCAGCACAGAGCCTAACTTGGGCTCAAACCCACAAACCATGAGATCATGACCTGAGCCAAAGTCGGATGCTCAACCGACTGAGCCACCCAGGTGCCCCCAACTTTTAAATATTTAATTGAATTATAGTTGATGTACAATATTATATTTGTTATATAACATAGTGACTTAACAATTATATGCATTACAACACGTTCACCATAAGTGTAGTCACTATCTGCCACCATACGAATGTATTACAATATTATTGACTATATTCCCTATGCTGTACTTTTCATCCCTGTGATTTATTTTATAATCGAAAGTGTTTTTTTAAAGACTTTTAAAGTAATCTCTACTTTTGAAATGGGGATTGAACTCACAACCCCGAGATCAAGAGTCACGTACTCTACTGACTGAACCAGCCTGGTGCCCCTATAATTGGAAGTTGTGCCTTCAATCCCCTTCACCAATTTCATCCATCTCTCTTCTCCCTTTCCCTCTGGCAAGCTACCTGTTTGTTCTTTGTGTCTATGAGTCTGTTTGTTCATTTGTTTTTACTTTTAGATTCTATATACAAGGAAAATATATGGTATTTCGCTTACTCTGATTTATCTCTCACAGCATTATACCCTCTAGTTCCATCAGTGTTGCTGCAAATGGCAAGATTTCATTCTTTTTTATGGCTGA